CTAAACAAATTTGGAGTCCATGACAGATAATACAAAATGTATTAATTTTCTCCATCCAGATTTTTTTCTGTGTTTGCAAAATGCCCAGAATCGTTTCCTCTTTGGTACGCAGAAGCAACATGTAAGTATGGCTTATTTTTCACATTGAAAATGTTACTGCTCTTCAATCATTTTGCTGCTTAGCTATTCTATATATTTTTATTATCATACCATATGTTATTTCAACATATATATTATGTCCCAATAATATACGTGGTGTTTGCTGGGTATGGTGGCTCACACCCATAATCCTAGCTTTCTGGGAGATTGAGGCTAGTAGATCATTGAGTTCAGGAGGTTGAGACCAGCCTGAGCAAGAATGAGACCTCATCTCTATTAAAAATAGAAAAACTGAGGCAAGAGGATCTTTTGAGCCCGATGATGTGAGATATAGTGTGATGGCACTCTACCCAGGGCAACAGAGTGAGACTCTGCCTCAAACGTGTCTTTTATATATTAAATATGTATGATTACCAGTTCTGGTTTAATATAACAACCAAACTTTTCTTTTACTGTGTTAATTACATAATTCAGAAATTCAAATATACAATATTTATTATTTTTAAAAGGCCCCTCCTCATTAAAGGCAAACAGTTTCTCTGTTCTAGAGACTAAAAGAAGAGAAATTAACTCAAAACCTAAACAATTAAAGTAGATTATTTACCTCAACCACATATGGCTACTGGTTTGAAAATCTGTGGATTTTGAGAATGCCAAGAAAATTATGTCTGTTATCACAATATTGAAATATATAAATTGTTTTACCTTTCTCTCTTAATCACACAGATAGAAAGTCAATTTTTTTCTGTATCCTCTGGAAATATCACCATAGACCTTAAAAAAGCAGGGTAAGAAGTGGAAGGAACGGCATTCAAGTAGAAAGAGTTGAGATGTGAGGTTATTTTTTTCTACATCATGGTACAGTATTTTCTTTCTTTCTCTCTCTCTCTTTCTCTCTCTCTCTTTCTTTCTTTCTTTCTTTCTTTCTTTCTTTCTTTCTTTCTTTCTTTCTTTCTTTCTTTCTTTCTTCTGTTAAGAAATAGGGTCTCGCTTTGTTGCCCAGGCTGGAGTGTTGTGATCACAGCTCACAATAGCCTTGAACTCCTAGACTCCAGTTACCCTCCCTCCTTAGCCTACCAGGCAGAGCTGAGACTACAGGCATGCACCACCACACCTAGCTGAGGATGTGGGATTGTTTAAAACTCCAGCTTTCTAGTTGAATTTACCAGCTTCTGAACTGATTGCATTATATGTTGTATTATGCTCATTAAGCATTTTCTATACTAGTGTTAAGTGCACTTGAAAGAGATGGTGCATTAAAAAAGCTACCTCTGGCTCACTGTAGTAAGTGCAAGTGGGTACGTCCCAATTGAGATGCTCATAAAAAGCAAAATGGGAACCCTCAGAGGCAGTAGACATATTTGCAAAGGTATGTTTTAGTTAAACGTTAAAAACCAGAGGTTTGTAGGCCAGATTTTTCAGACAGACATTAGTCTGAAACATTAAGATCTTTTTTTTTTTTTTTTGATAGCTGTGTACATTAATGCAATCATGGGGTACAGTGTGGTGTTTTCATATACAATTTGAAATATTTTCATCAAACTGGTTAACATAACCTTTATGTCATTTTCTTAGTTACTGTGTTAAGACATTCATATTCTACTCTTAGAAAGATTCACTTGTACCCTTGTGAGATAAACCATAGAGGTGATCCCTCTAGTTGCAAACAAAATATTGACTATTTTTACGTGAAATGATCTAACATTTCTGATCTCTCTGAAAACATTAGAAGATCTGGTAGCACCTGATATAAGCTTCATATAAGCACCTGTCTTATATGACAATAGTTATCAGAGGTTAGTACTGGCTGTCCCGTTGTCTGCTAATTTGCCGGGGTTTCCACCACTCCCAGCTGCCTCACAGCAACCAGCTTTATTCATTATAGATCCATCGGACTCTTTCGTGCAACTTCCAGTTGCCTCTGAAACTTTAAAGTTCATTCGTTCAGTTGAATGTCCCGTTTTTCCATCCGATGTACACTTGTGATTCTAATCTTCTTATCAGCTGAAGCAAATAAAATCCCTAGCTTTAGCTGTGTTCTAATCTCTAAGCACTTATTTCTTTTAGGTACAGAGTTAATTAGATTAGAAATTGGTTTCTTTTCAAAATCATCTGTATTTACTGACTAATCCCAAACTGAATTTGATTTTCTCCCCCATATTTCTCTTTTCTTTGTTTTGGTGCTGTGGCACGCACCATCACCTACACGGGAAAGTGATTTCTTCTCCCTGACCCTCCATAGCTTCTGTGATCAAGTTTTATTTATTTAGGAAATATTCAAAGACTATCTACTGGAACTGGGTACTATTCTAGGCAATAAGGAAATAGCAACGATCAAGGCAGACTCTGAAAACAAACAAGCAAATACAAATTACAAGTGTTCTAAAAATGACAACTGTTCATTGAAAGGAGATGATGTCTATTTCAGACTAAGTAGCAGAGGAATTCATCTAAGGAGGAATCATTTAAGTAAAGACTGAAATTACAAGAAACTACTCACATAAAGAAGGAGGTAGAAAGACATTCTAGTCGAGAGCAAAATGAAATGTAAATTCACAAATTCTGGGAATTTAGTTTGTTTAAGCAACAACAACAGAAACGTCTGGAGTGAGTAGGAAGCAAGGGAAAGAGGGGAAGTGGCTATAAAAGAGGTTCAAGTTTTAGGTAGGAGGAAAATCCTGGAGGGCTTTGTTAAGCATTTAAAAAAATTGAACTTTCTTCTAGGAACCACAAGAATCCATTCAGTAGCTTTAACGAAGAAAGTGACACCATACGTATACGTTAGGTTTGAAAAGATCGGTCTGTCAGCTCAGGAGTGGCCGTAGCAGTAATAGAAAGTTAGACGAACATCACAGCAGTGCGGACAGAGGGACGCGTTTAGATGGTGTGGCTGAAATGAGCATGGGCAGAACTGAGGGGGAAAGGAAAATGATCCAGATTTTTATTTTCACTACACTAATAAATAAGGGTATTCCTTACTGAGATAAGGAAGGGAAGAGGATGGAGGTTTGATGCTTAGTCTTTGTGCTAATTGAGGCAACTATATTCAACACACATGACTAGTGATACCAGTTGACCAGATAAATATACTGACCTGGCTTTCTCGGCAGCATTCTGCACTGGAAATAGAGGTCTGAGAATAATTGATATATAAGGAGACTTTAAAGTGTAGGATAGAATAAGTCCCTTAAGGTAAAAATCTCCTAGGGATTGTGTGTTTATAAAGAAGAGAAAAGGGGTCAGGCATGGGGGCTCATGCCTGTAATCCCAGCACTCTGGGAGGCTGAAGCGGGAAGCATTGCTTGAGCTCAGGGGTTCAAGACCAGCCTGAGAAAGAAGTGAGACAAAAGCTCTACTAAAAAACAACAACAAAAAATTAGCTGAACATTGTGGCAGGCACCTGTCAGGAAGCTAAGGCAGGAGAATTGCTTGAGCTCAGGATTGAGGTTGCTGTAAACTAGACTGAGGTCATGGCACTCTAGCCTATGGGACATTGTCTTAAAAAAGGGGGGGAAGGGTCAAAAACAGAATCTCTGTGCATTCCAACACTTAGGGTTAAAAAGAAAAAAGATGAGAATTCAGCAAAGGAGATTGAGAAAGAGATACAAGGGATATAGATTCAATGCAGTAAAAAGAGGAAAGATTGCACAGTGTCTTGAAGGAGGAGTAGTCAGGATTCCACCTCAGATGTTGAATTATCATACATTAACAAACATCTTTTGGACCTTTACTGTTATAAACGTTATAGCAGGCACTTTGGCAAACTATAACAAGAGACACATCTAGTGGCCTAGAAAACAAAGCCTCCTGATCAAAGTTTAGTCCACTGTTGAAAATCTATTTGTGAGTGTGTATGTGTGTATATTACTCTACTCATAGGGACCACAAATTTTTAAGAAAATGTAGTTTGAATTTTAAAGAAATTACCTAATAAGAATTTCAGTCAAGATAGGACAGCAGTAACTTTAGGTCCATATCTGAAGGGCTTCTCTGGTGTGGGTTGGGATGGGTGACCTGGCAGATCTGAAAGCTGCTCTGGGGGTCTGGGGCTTGGGTAGACATGGCATTTCAGAGAATACCTCTAAACTCCTCAGAGATCTTGCATTGCAGACTTTCTTTGCAATTTATTTATGTTGCATGCAAACCACCACAATTCTATGTAGACAGGGTTCAGGATAAGTAATAGAAATGTCTTTGCTTAATTATGGTTAATGATATTGCCTAACTAAGCAGGGTAACCTGTAGGTTATAAATATACAACTCAAGTTGCCAGAGCAAGAGGTTTTTCCTGAATGCAAAAGTCCTAAACACTGTGTGGATGCAGGGTCACTTTGGGGGACCATTTGTGTTTCTTCTCTGTACTTTTTATTCTTCTCCGTATCTCAAGCTGGGGGTTGAGCGCTTGGTCTTTCATGGCCTCAGAATTTTGTGCAGATGAAAACACAAATTCAAAAACTGCTTAAAGACAGATCAGTCAGGGTCCTCTTGTTCACACATGTGTATGTAAGCCTGCAGTCACTGACAAGATTGTAGGGTCACCTGAAAGGCAGGAGCGCCCCACATAGGAAGAAAAGAGGAAGGCAAGCTGAAGGGCCTTAGAAGACAATCGGTATGGCCGAAGGGTAGAGGACAAGGGAGACTTCCCTTGTGCTTTGTGTTAGAACTCTCAGACCTTGGCACAATTCTGGGAGTTTAAGAAAAGCCCTAATTAATGACGGAAGTTGAATTTTTCATTAGGTTTCAATAAAATTTAAAAATAAATATGTTAGGTAAGCTAGTTTGTATACTCAGTTACTTCTATATTTAGTGATTTTACACAGAGTTGGATTAAATAGATATCATTATTATGGAGACATAGAACATGACGGAAACCCACATGTACCTATCAGGACAACACTTACGGCCAGGCAGGGTTTGAGCAGAAATCCACCTGGAAGCGTTGCCATAGCCAGCATTGGTGCTGGCAGCCACCTGGAATCTATACCATCTAAATTTCTTCAATCCGTACACTGTCTCTTCAGTTAGGTCAGCTTCATAGAGGTACTGGACTTTTTGGTCCTCAACGCATTCTTCAGATTCCCATTCTCCGCAGTGTTGAGCGAGAAGTTGAATGATAATCTTGTAATTTTGAAAGTAGCCAAAGATAGCGTCAGGCCTTCTCCACGTCAATGTCGCACTAGTTGACTGAACATTAGAAAGAGCAATATTTGTGGGAACACTGGGAACTAAAAAGGAAAAGGAAAATAAGTAAAAAAATTATTGGGATTATCAAAAATTTTGTAGATAGAAGAAAAAAATAGAATTTTAAAACAGCACAGCCTGGAATAATGGCTAATGTCTAAAGTCACAGCACTTTTTGAGGCCAAGGCAGGAGGATTACTTGAGACCAGGAGTTTCAGGCCACCCTGGACTGTATAGCAAGGCCTTCTCTCTATTAAACATTTAAAAAATAAAGGCCAGCCTTGATAGCGTGTGTCTTAGTCCTAGCTACCCAGCATGCTGAGGAAGAATTGCTTGAACTCAGAAGTTGGAGGCTGCAGTGAACTATGACTATACCACTCTACTCTAGCCTGGATAACAGAGCAAGACCCCGTGTATAAAAAATAAAAATTAATAATTCTATTATGGTGCACCTAGTAGAGATCTCTGAAATTACTATAGAACTTAGACTAAATTATTCCTACCCTTACTGAGCAGAACCTTGAGGTGGGCTTCAGGCCTCACCATTTCAAAAGAGTAAAAGACAAAATAATGGCGATTTTTTTTCAGACCTAATTTTTCGCACAAGTCCGATCACAAGTGGTTTATATAAATGTACTTTGGTTTCATATAGAAGCAAAAATATCACTGGTACAAAAGCAAATTGTATGCTCATGTCATCCCAAGGACTTCCCAAGGCATGGTTTGACTCTTTAACTTTCAGTTCCCAAGAAAGATGTTTTTTATATTTAAATGTCTAGATAAACATTAGCACATAGTACATATAGTAAGTATTCATTATAAAACAATTTTAAATAAGCAGTATTACTCAATGAATTACTTTATATGATTAGTTGATTTTTATTTTATCTTCGGTACACTTAAAATCAACATTTTTTTCTAGACCATCATCCAGTACACCAAGATTAGTACACAGACTGAGGTAGCTGTATATCCCCTGGTACACATGGTCCCGCTGGTCATCTCTTATTACACTTCATACTAACTATTGGTCTGGTAAATGCTTCCCATGTATTATTAAGCTCTGAGCATGGTGTTAAGGATTCAAGATATAATAAAGCTCATGTCCTGTTTTCAAGAAATAGTGTATTGGGCACATAATATAAGTATATTAGGTTAGAAATATGAGCAATAAGCTAAGTGGTACTATAACTTTTTTCAACTATGTCTTTCCTATCTTTAAGGGTCTTTGCTCAGAAAACTGAGATAAAGGGAGTGATAACAATGACTTTTCTGAAAATTTTCTGAAGTGTGCTAATAGTCATACTTTAAGAAAATAGATATTTAGAAAAATCATTCATAAATATATCACATTAATTTAAACATTTAGTAAATTTCTTTTTCTTTTTTTTTTTTTTTAAGAGACGAGTCTCACTTTGTCACCCTCGGTAGAGTGCTATGGATCACAGATCACAGCAACCTCCAGTTCCTGGGCCCAGGCAATTCTTTTGCCTCAGCCTCCCGAGTAGCTGGGACTACAGGCACCCACCACAACACTGGGCTTTTTGTTGCAGTCTGGCCGGGGCCGGGTTTGACCCCGCCACACTCGGTATATGGGGCCAGCGCCCTACTCACTGAGCTACAGGTGCCGCCCAATATTTAGTAAATTTCTAAGGAGTACTTAATATATGGGACTATTGAAGGTGCTGGAAATACAATGAATGAAACAAAAGTTTCATTCCTGACCTCATAAAATTTACTTCCTGGAGCGTTACATGAAATAAAAGTATTGGACACATCCACGTCTCATTATCTGTGGGGGACTGGTTCTAGGAGCTTCCCTGAATACCGAAATCAGAGGATGCTCAGGTCCCATATATAAAATGGTATAATATTTGCATACAACCATTGCACACCCTTGTATATAATTCAGATTATCTCTAGATCACTTATAATACCTAATACAATGTAAATGCTGTGCATGTAATCATTAACCTGTATCGTATAAGGATTAATGCAAGAAAAACATCTGTACATATTTAACACAGATGCATTTGTTTCCAAATATTTTTTGTTGAATGCACAGATGGAGAACCCATGGATATGGAGGGCCAACACATAGTATTTTGGAAGAGGATTATATTTATGGAGAAAAATAAGAAAGGGAAGAAGGAGAGAGTCCCAGTGATCTTGACAATTTAAATTACGTAGTCAGAAAATGGCTGAGAAGATGCTAAGCTCCTTATAAAGGTGGAGGAGTTAGCCATGTGAATATTTCAGGTAGAAAAATTCGCAGCACAGGAAACTGCTTGATTAAATGCCTACAGTTGGCAGCATGCCATCTCATCTGGAGAATAACTAGCCCTGAGTAACCAGTAGGAGCTGGGGTCTGAGACGGTACACTGAAGGCTGATTGCATGTGACATGATGAGACGTTGTTATGGCTTTCTTCTGAACAGAGAAATGACAGGTTCTAACATATGTTTTCACGGAATCACCCTAGCTACTGTGTTAAGAGTAGATGATGGGAGACAAGGATGGAAGCAAGGACACCAATTAGCAGATTGCTGCAACGTCAAGGCAAAGGGCCACGGTGGCCTGGGTCAAAATGGCAGCATCGAAAGTGAAGACATCGAGATGTGCACCATCCTTGAAGGCGCTGAAAGGCTCTGCTGCTGGGGGCTGTGGGATATTAGAGAGAGAAAGGAGCATGTGAGAAAGACGGCAGAAACAACCAGCAGCAGAGCTTCTCCATCCAGAAATGTCTGTGCTACACTAGAGGGGGGAATGTAGAGGACGCCAAGAGACGGACGACCTCTAAGCAAGATGATTTACAGCTGAGGGGTGGACATGTCCACAGGTGCTCCTTATGGAGAAGGAGTCCATGCCCTCAGCAGGTAGTCATTGTTAATTTCTCCCCTCACCTGTATCACTCCGTTTCAATAAAAGGCTGGCGCAGAGGTTGCTCGGGGCTACACGGAAAGTAAGGGCTAGCCCGCCTTGCACAAGCTTGTACTTGTAATCCTCCTCTCACCTGGTTCCTTCCTGCACTAACTGAGACCAGGGCCATAGGAGCCCGATGGATCGTGACAGGAGCAAAGAAAAGCTCTAAGTTCCTTAGATTGCCCACATAAAGAGATGACGTCCTCATTAACCAAGGAGTGGATGAGGAAGCTTTGGGGACAATGATTAAGAATTTCCTCTGAGTATGTTAACTGAAATTCCTCCGAGATACCCGGGAGCACAAGTCAACTAGTAGGTGGATGCCTTAGTCAGGATTTCGGTACAGAGAGGTCTGGACTTGAGGTAAAATTTCAGGTTTTCTCGTAATGTTTTACTAAATTATCTACACAGCTGCATATATGGGTCAATATGAAAGTTTTGAGGTACATGAATATCAAGAAACATAAAATCTGCACAGACGGAAACAGAGGACGCCTCCTCTACAACTCCAATAAGCCAAGCAAGTTGGAGGTGAAATAATGGAACATGACACTGTCTCAAAACTTTCGTAGTGACCCACATATAGTATGTGTGTGTATATAAAATACATGTATATATTATATTTCCCTGAAACTGGAAGACAGAAAGCAGTGAAAAGTGATGATTGATCAGACTCAATTACTCTGTTTTCAATACTAATATCTATTGTCAAATTTTGCTGCATTTGGTTAAATGTTAACCATAAAAGAACAAAATACTTGATGCAGTCCTTCCAGCACACTCTTTTATCTTTACCTATCATGAAGAAAAGCAATTAGAAAAAACTTTTCAGCAAAACGAACATGTATAGCAAAAGAGGTTTTCAAATTGGCTAAAAAGCAGAATTTCCATAATTTATTTAAATCCTTCAGTCATTAAATGTGAACTCAGATCACATGTATAGGATACATTTTCAAAATATTTTAACATAAATGATAGAAGTGTTATTGACTTGGGTGTTCAGGAAATGTTTTTAGAGAAGAGAGAGCACATGAGATGCGATTTCACTGATTGTAAAAAAGGCAAGCCTAGAAGAGGAGGTATTGGAAGCTAAGTCACATGTGACTGAAGCTTACAGTTCACGTTGGCAATACAAACCCCAGAAAGGTGGCACAATGGCTTGGGGACTTACTGTGTCAGGGGAAATTACAGATAGCTTTCCAGGCAATGAAGTTATCAAAGGTGTCAGAATGAGATGTTCAGGGTGACGTTGTATCAATCCCAGCCTGGTAATTGCACAATAAAAAAAGGAAATTTTTCAAAGACCATTTGATTTGTCCAGGAAAGAAGAAATAAGATAGTAGCAACAGGAAAGGAGTCAGATTTTTATATTCATCTTGGCGGCTGAATCCCATAGGCAAATAACTGGGAAAATCATGGAATCTCAGAATTCTGAATAGGTTTAGAGATTATCTTGGTCAATTTTGCATCTGTGGATGCCATGAAGATTCTCAGTCCCCGTACAAAGAACGTCTTCTACTTATCCAACCAAACAATTAATCTAGGTTCAGATGGAAATAAATTTTGCTGCTGTAATTAAGAATCTAAACCAATCTACTTTAAAATAGACAGCTATCCAGTGGGCTTGACCTTATAACTTAAGTCCTCTAAAAACCGAACATTATCCTTGGTAGTGGCAGAAGAGGAACCAAAAGGTGTGAAGCATGAGACAGATTTAATGCACACAAATTTCTCCATTGGTGGCTTTGAAGAAGGAGGGGGCCACATGATAAAGAGTGCAGGCCCTCTCTAGCAGCTGAGAGCAGTAGTTTGCTAAGAAACAGCCAGGAAATGGGTCAGCTTTACCCCCTCAGGGAACTAAATTCTGCCACAACCCTGTGAGCTTGGAAGAGGACTCTGGATTCTGCAAGAAAATACAGTTGACTAAAACTTGACTTAACTTGTGAGAAAAGTAGGGAACCTGGGCACATGATGCCTGGACTTCCCACCCATAGAACTATAGGCTAATTAACAGGTGTTGTTTTAAGCTACCAACTTTGTGATAATCTGATACACAGAAAATCATCACAACTTTCCTCTACAAAATGACCAATCACTACTTACCTAATCACTGTTTAAACAC